TTTTTTTTTTTTTTTGGTACCGGGGATTGAACTCGGGTCCTTGCGCTTGCGAGGGAGGCCACCGAACCACTGAGCTAAATCCCCAGCCCCGTTTGTGAGATTTTATTGAGGCGCTCCTGTGAGTCCTGTGGTAGCTTTGGTAGAAGATGAGAGAAGTGGTCAGCTCCTGCCTCCCATGGCTACTTCGGTGGGTATCTAAAGTTAGAAAGGGACCAGAGTAACTGCCCTTTTGGGGCAGATATGATCAGAGATGGAGACAGGGGGAGACTGACTGTCGGGGGTCACATGGATACGAGGGACAAATAGGCCAAGATCTATGTCCCTGTCTAATTGCGGGCAGATATAGGTAGGATTTTGGGCCACAAAGGAAAAAGAGTCTTGATCGGAAAGGCAATGTTGTGAGATATAGTAAGAAAAGATGTTGTAAAACTCCCTGGAATTGACAGGTTTGGCTCATTTTTCCAGACCAACCAGCCAGTGATGCCAAGTTTAGGCTGAAGTGAGCTAGAGTTGTTGGAAGGTGAGATTTCAATACAATCCTATTGGAAGAGCTTAGAGGGCTCTGAGATTGTGGGTGGTCCAGAGGAAAGGAGCGGCTGAGTGGACTTTGTGTCTGTCTTAGGTGAGGTGCCATAAGTGACCTGATGAGACAGTGTGGAGGGCTTTTGAGAGTAATGCTTTGGTTACATTGAGAGGGGTCTGAAGTACCGACCACATCACACCCCCAAGACGCAGGGCTGGGGCAGGGGGCAGAGCTTAGGCTGGGAAATGAGGTGAGGGATAAAAGGAAGTTAGCTAGCTTTAAACTTAAAATAGAGGTTAGGCTGCTGAGGGCAGTGGTGAGTTAATAGTAAGTATGGAAATCTGGGTAGGTTTTGAAGGTATATCATTTTCTAAAGGATCAGATGTGAGTATGACAGAGATAAGGGTGATGCCGAGATTCTTGGTCTGAGCAATTGGAAGACTGGATTTATTTACAGAAATAGAGATTGTGGGAGGAGCAAGGGAGGGAAGGTCAGAATTTCATTTATCTATTGCAGCTAAACAGATCTCCCCAAAACAGTGGCTTAAAACAATGATTAATTTTTTCTCTCAATTTTGTGGGCTGATAATCTGGTGATTTTCTACTAATCTTTGCCCAGGGTCAGTCATATGACTGAGAGCATCTGATAGCCCAACTAGGCCTGGAGGGCCCTTGGTGGCCTTACCCAAATGGTTGGGACATCTCATTTCTCCTGGCTGCTGGCTGAGACACCTTATTTCTCCTCTGCATGAGCTTTTGCCTCAGCAAATTTAGCTTGGGCTTCTTGACTCTGGTGGTATCAAGGTTCCAACATTTGAAAAGGAAAGCTGCGAAACCTTCAAAGTCCTAGTCTCTGCAATTCACATACTGCCAAATCAAGATACAAGGCCAATCTACACTCAAGAGGGCAGGATTAATGCTCACATTGCAAAGAGCTGATTGGACACAGGGTGATTGGATTCACTGGGACCAATCGGGTGTCGGTTTGTGGGCATAAATCCAGATGCCTCTTACATATCTATGTGGACATACTGCGTTAGTTAGATATATGAGTTTTAAATAGCAAGAAGTTTAGGATAGAGATTTAAATTAGGAGACAAAGCTGAAGTAACTAAATCCACAAAACAACAGGAGATAGGTAAGGGAAACGGTGTAGATAAAGAAAATATTTGAAGACTCAGCCCTGTTGCATTTCAATTTTAAAGATGGATGTGCTACTGTATAGATCAAAGAGACAGAACAGAGAATCCCGAGGGATTACACTCATCTATATACTCCATGCAAAAGAACAAGGTGCCAGGAACAGAGCAGCCTTAGAGCCATGCCTTAGAGCCAGCTGACTATGGGCTGGAACCTCTACAATCTGTGAGCTGAAATAAATCTTTCCCTTAACTTTGGGTGGTTAGTATTTTGCCTTAGTTAATGCACAATGGTTAACTAGTTGTGGGTAACTAGTAACTGGCAACCAATGGTTTAGTATCTGATTACTAGTTGTAACTAGTATTAGCTAACTGGTGCTGGTTAACTATTGTGTGCAACTGATCATTAACTACCTGTGGGTGACTAGTAACTAGCAACTAGTGATGATTAACTAGTAACTGTCAATGGTTAACTAGTAGTTGGTAACTGGTAGCTAGCAGCTGATAGCTGTGTCCAACTAGTATTAGTTGACTAGTTATGAGTTACTAGTAATTGGTGAGTAGCAATAGTTAACTGTGTGTAACTATCAACTCATAACCAGCAATAGTCAAATAGTTTACAAACTGGGATTTACCTCAGTGGTTCCACTGCCTGCCTTGCAAGCACAAGGACCCAAGTTCAATCACAAATTTAAAAAAAACTAGTAGTTTGCAATGAGTTGTAAGTTGCATTAGTTAACTAGTTGTGGGTTACTAGTAATCAGTAACTAGAGATGGTTACCTAGTTGTGGCTAGTAACTGCTAAGTGGTGGTGGTTAATTGTAGGTAACTAATAACCAGTAACCAACAATAGTTAATTAGTTGTGGGTGTTACGGATTGTCTAGCTGTCCCTCAAAGCCTCGTGGTCATAGGGCTTTTCCACAGATGGCTAAATCTAGAGTGTGTGATGCTGGGATTAAGGGTGTGTGGTTACTAATTAGTTCACTGATTGGCATAGTTGTGGGTAGGATTAATGTGCCCCATTCTGGATGTGAGGGTAGCTTGGATAAGATGTAAGAGACAGAAAGAGGGTTGCTGCTGATCACTTGTCACTTGCTGCCTCCTGCCTGCCATGAACTGTTTCTCCTTCTGTGATGCCCTTCTGCCATGCCAACCTGCCTTGAAGCCAGCCAGCAATGAACTGAAGCCTCTACACACCGTGATCTAAATAAACATTTTCTCCTTTAACGTTGGCTGTTGGGTAGATTGTCTTTGCAAAGAGAAGTAACTGTGTCAGAATTTGGTACCAGAGAAGTAGGATTGTTGCTGTGACTGTACCTGACCACGTGGTTCAGGAGCCTTTGGAACTGGCTTGTGGGAAGAGTTCAGAAAGGTTTGGAGAGGTCAGCAGCCCTGAAATGCCTTAAAGCTGTATTTGATGGGAGACTCTGGTCAGAGCTTGGAAGACCAGAATGCTGACAGAAGTGCTGCTGGTGAAGACCAGGCTCAGGAGCTTTCTGCTGGGAAGAAAGACTGCATTGGCCCCAGACAATGGGTGCTATGTCTTGGCAGAAAGTTTGTCTGTATTTTGCTCACGTCTGGAGATCTTGCCTGAGACTGAGATGAAGGGAGAAGGACTAATTAACTTGGTGGAAGAAATTTCAAGGCAGTCTAACACTGAAGGTGGCATGTTGGGGGCTTTTAGACAGATTTATGTTGAGAATCAAGAGTAAAGAGCCCAACAAAATGATCAAAATGTTTTGAGTTTGGTCAGAAAGGAAGCTCCAGTGAAGGTATGCCCTGCAAAAAATGGCATAGAGGAGGAAATGGTCACTGAAAACATTAGCAAGAAAAAGCCAAGCATTTCAGAAAAGGACAATAGAAAAGATAACCTGAGGATGTCGAAGAACCAGCAGAACTCTGCCCTTTGCAGCCTCAAAATTAAAAAAGTGAGACTTTGCTTTGAGAAGAGGCTCCCAGAGCACCATGCTCCAGAATGGCAGCAGCCTGGGGAAGTTGTTCCTCAGGATTTAGTTTTTAGGTGCTCAGTCCCTATAGCCAAGCAAGAAGGAAGCCTGGCTACTGCTCGAGTTGGGGACAGATTTTGGCATCATCCACACGGTGCTGCTTTAGGTGCATGCAGAGGTAGAGTTGTGGGGTCAGGAAAGCTTCTACTTAGATTTCAGAAGAAGGCCTGGAGGCCAGGCCGTGTACCCGAGAGGGCAGTGTGTGAAGGTGTGAGTGTTAAGCTGAAGGTTCAGCGGACACCTCACAAGTCTGGAGAAGCCAGGAACATGAATTGGCTGAGGAAAACTGCAAGGAGGGAGCAGAGGCCGTCCAAGAGAGAACTCATGGCTGCTACAACCACTACAAATGGGCAGAACCACCCAAGCCCTCTGGAGTTCATAACTTTGGAATTCAAGATTGCCAGGGATGCTGGAAGAACTATGGGATATAATATCTGCTTTGCTGAATTTTGGACTTGCTTTGTTCCCATTACTTCCTATCCCCCTCTTTGTACCTTTTGGAATGGAAATGTTTAT